AATGTAGATTTCTTTGACACCTTTTCACCTGTTTCTAGAATTACATCTATTCGAGTGTTATTTTCTCTTGCTGCTATTCATGATCTTGTTGTACACCAAATGGATGTTAAAACTGCTTTTTTGAATGGTGAATTAGAAGAAGAGATTTATATGGACCAACCTGAAGGTTTTGTTATTCCTGGTCAAGAACACAAAGTGTGCAAATTAGATAAATCTCTTTATGGTCTAAAACAGGCACCTAAGCAATGGCATGAAAAGTTTGATAATCTTGTTATCTCACATGGTTTCAAAGTGAATGAAAGTGACAAGTGCATTTATTATAAATCTGAAAATGATGTTTGCACTATTATATGTCTTTATGTGGATGACTTGCTGATTTTTGGTTCTAATATTCATGTTGTGAATAATGTGAAATCTATGCTATGTGCTAACTTTGATATGAAAGATCTCGGAGAAGTAAATGTGATCCTTGGAATTAAGATAACTAGGTCTAAAAAGGGAATTTCTTTGGATCAATCTCATTACATTAAGAAGATCTTAAAGAAATACAATTACTTTGACTGTAAACCAGCATGTACTCCTTATGATCCTAGTGTAAAGTTGTTCAAGAACACCGGTGATGGTGTTAGACAATCTGAGTATGCGAGCATCATTGGTAGTCTTCGATATGCTGCTGATTGCACTAGACCCGACATAGCCTACGCTGTGGGACTGCTATGCAGGTTTACTAGTAGACCTAGCATTGAACATTGGCATGCTATAGAAAGGGCCATGAGGTACCTAAAAAGAAATATGAACCTTGGATTACATTATCAAAAGTTTCCCGTTGTCCTAGAAGGATATAGCGATGCTGATTGGAATACTCTTTCAGATGACTCCAAGGCAACTAGCGGCTACATATTAGCACATTTGGTGGATCTGTTTCTTGGAAGTCTAAGAAACAGACTATCTTGGCTCAATCTACCATGGAGTCTGAGATGATTGCACTAGCATCAGCTAGTGAGGAAGCAGGATGGTTAAGAAGTCTGCTATCTGATATTCCGTTATGGGAGAGACCGATTCCAGCTATCTTGATCCATTGCGATAGTACTGCAGCTATTGCGAAAATTCAGAACCGTTATTATAATGGAAAAAGGTGACAAATACGTCGTAAGCATAGTACTATGAGAGAATATCTCTCCACTGGAGCTGTGAGAGTGGATTATATACGTACTGATGATAACATGGCTGACCCTTTAACGAAAGGATTAGCTAGAGAAAAGGTTTGCAAAACCTCAAAAGGAATGGGACTTATGCCCGTAGATTGATGAGTCACTTGTGATGGAAACCCAACCTATGGACTGGAGATCCTAAGAAATATGTTCAATGGGTAATAACAAGTCATGAAGTGATATGAATTGGATCATGCTAATATAACAATATTTGTTATATTCCGAATATCTTACTTTGAAGCATGAAATCCTGAAGCGATGGAAGGTTGAGTTATTTCTAAACTCTTAATGGGTTCTATATCTCTGTGTGGAGTGGAGTATTTAGCTATAGGAATACTCTTGATAGACTCACCTAAGTGAATGTGGAAGTGTGGCCGCTTCCTATGGAATTTTGGGCAAATTCTCTAGAGCATTCACTAGACTGGGATATACGTGCATGGCCGTAAAGCACAGGCTTTTGGACTTCACCCTGATAGGGTTGTGTGTGTGATGTTGTTAGAGATAGAGTTCAAAACTACGAGTTACTCTAGTATAATCTAAATCATCTTCACTATGTAAGGGTTCAAGTCGATAGACACCTTTGCTTATGCATGATCCTATATAACATTGCTCGATGGAAATGTTAAAAATTCAAGTGGGGGATTGTTGGAGCAGTGTGAATTTTTTTTTTAATTAAAAATAAAAGTGGTTATATCTAAAGAGATTATCTATTAACAAATAAAGTTGCTATTTTGAACGAAAAAAAAAGGGGAAGACTTAGTCTCTGAACAAGAATGACTTGGTCCATGATTTCCTCCACGATCCTCTCCACTCTCTCATGGTTTGTTCCTAACTTTCCTCATCGTCATTGTATACAATTTTCTTTAAATAGAGGCAGAGAGGATAGATTGAGATATAAAGTTTTTAGATGCTCTCTCTGGTAATCAAAAGAAAAAACTTTCTTCTTGCTTTCTGTTTTCCGAGCAATATTTGGGTGTTTGTATTCCGGCTTTCTTCAGTGCAGAGGAGGTCCGAGACAGAGGTGATTCTGGGCTGTTTTATCCTGGGGACGACGAGGCTGGTATACTGCTTGTACTACCTTGGGCAGAGCCGCGAAACGTCTTAAAGAAAGCGACTTAGTCCGCGACTCAACCCAAGATTTTGTTTGGTAAATTCGTTCCTTTTGTGTTCTGCACTAACAGGAACAGCTTACTTATCATCTGTTTTGGCTGTCATGTATGTGAATATAGGCGGAAGTGTGTTGTGTGCTTTTCACGGTAGATGTGAAATACACTGGTTCAATTGAACACACACAGGCATCCCCCGCAAGCTCTGCGGAGCAGCCCACTTGTCCAGTTTGTCTCCGTATGTTTTCCATTTTTGGTTTAGAATTTCGGAATTTTCTTTTTTGGTAACGTGGTGGGAGTGTATCAAGTGCTATTTTTGTCTAGAGCTAATATATCCATAAATTGTGGTGAACATATAAGCCTCCCGAACATCTAGTAAGTTATTTCTTCAATTTTCATTGAGAAATTTTAATTTTCTGTCTGAAGTCACTTGACCTTATTTCACCGTCACATGTTATGAGACTTCTATTACTTGTCGATGGTGATTAGTTGATAGATCATAGACATGAAGTTCAATTTTTGTTGATTCATTGAGTGCATTTTGTAAGCTTCCAATATAATGATATCTTTTTTTAACCCAAAAAACATGGAGGTGGAACGATGACCTCTGTATTGATTGCAGTATTTTGAATCTTCACTGGAAGATGTCAAAGAAGAAAATGAAAGGGAAATTTCTATTGCTGTGGAGAAAGCCTTGGCCCTGAGACTTCAGAAGATGCAGGCCAAGTTGGAGTGTTTGTTATTGGTGATATTTAAGAGTGTTTGTTTAGTTTCAGCGGAAAAATATAGCCAAATTATCTTTTGATATCATAAAGTATGTGCCACGCATTTTCCTTTTGATATAATAACTAATTAGGATTATGTTTCACTTTGTTAAATTGTATAAACTAGGAACTTACTTGACTTGATAGATGATAGATGCTATATATAGGTGAATCTACTAGTTTTGGTGTATGACTATATTTTGGGATTATATATATAGTTGAATGATATATCGTGTCATTTTTATTATTGACAAGGGTCAAAGTGATTATTTTACTCGATACATATCATGGTAGATGCTAAAAGTAATAATTTATTATTACATAAAAATATAAAATATTATTTTTTTACCATTGAAATATAGTTTTTAAATTTTATCCTTCAAATAAAAAGTTTTTTCAATAATTAATTTATTTTTTTTACTATTTTAATTAATTATATATTGATTTATTTAAGATTATTAAGAAGGGTATTTTTGTCAAAATATAGTTTACTTTCATTCCATTCTGTTGTCAACCAAACATTATAATTCTCATTCAGGTATTAATTCCATAACTCTAACTAAACTAAAGAATCAATTTATGATTTCAGCACATTTAAATTCTATTTTATTACCATTCTTATTATCATTCCGTCACTACAACCAAACGAACTTGTGTGGTTGCGTCCATTATTATTCATACAACGCACACCAACCGGTCAATAAAAATTGTTACCTTACTCGGCCTACCCACGGTCCCACGACGCTGAGAGACAATCCCTTAAATAAATGCTATACAATACAATTTTCCTATGTATTAAATCTGAGCTTTCACAGCGTGCTTTGTAGGACCTTAAATATCTCAAATCAATATTAAGTTTTTATTGGTGCCCATAAATTCCAACTTCTTTCCCTTTCATTGGAAAAAATGGCATTTGTCATGAGGGTATTAAGGTAATTTCGTTGTGAAATAGGTCAACCAAGGACAACAAAAGATTTGAATTTTGTTGAGCAAAAGGAAAGAGGGTGGAAAATGTGGAATGGAAATTAGAAACAAAACAAGGTGCGGTAAAATAAAAAGGTAGCTAGTTTTGTTTATGGAGACTATTCTTCTTGCGACCAATTGACGAGGTAAGACTTTGACACGTATCCACGTATTAAGGCTATCCAATCACGTGACGCCACGTGGATTCCAAAAAAAATCGTCCCAATAGAAAATGGATATCAGGCGATTTCAGTGAAGAATAAAACACTAGTACCCCCGTTCACTTTACCGATTTGAGTTTAGAATTTGAGTTTTGCTACAGTAAAAAGTTCTCAGAAACAGTCACATCTAACTTTTTTGCTATAGTAAAAAGCTCTCACGTAAAATCACATATTAAATTTATCTCCTCTTTCCCCGGCACAATTTGATTTGGTGCGTAACTTTTTGCAACGAAGCGTTTTTAAACAATGTGGAAAAAACCTATTCTCTCTTAGTAAGTAGATATAGATTTGGATGAGACTCCAAGTCTGAACATAAACTAGATCGGGTTAAATAATATGGCAGCAAATATGAAAATCTGGCAATAAAAAATTAAAATAATTTTAATACAAGCTTGCCAATAAAATGCCACCAGATATACATGACTGGAGATTAGAAATTTAGACAAGACTCCAAATCTGAACATAAACTAGATCGTTAGCACAACATGGATTAATTTCCAAATTGGAGAAAGACTTCTTGGCACCGAAAGTATCTTTAACGAATTAATAAAATAAGGAAACATCATTAATATGCAGGAAATTTATTGGAACGCACACAAGCACTAAGAAATCTTATTTAACGAGTCCTTGGAGACAATGGTTTCCCGGCTAATCAATCTAATTAACCACTTTCTCATCATCAAAATATGGATTACAACACCAGCAATCTTATTATTCAAAACTTTCATAACCGTATCTACTACAACAACCATTTCTTTTCACTCCAAATAATTATTCTCCTCCTCTTAATTGATATTGATCTCCACGCAGATGCAATTTCCTTTAAACGCACCGACTTCAGAAATTGGCCCGACATCATGTTCGACGGTGATGCCAGTGCAAATCCAGATGGAGTTGGCCTCACGCTTAACTTGGATAAAATCAAGAGCGCCGGCAGAGCGGTATTCGCTAAAGAGACAGGTTCCCCCGCGAACCTTAAAACCGGAAATGGTCCGGTGGAAGACTTCGACACTAGCTTCTCTTTCACCATCACTACATTGTCAAATGACTCTTATCTTCGTGGAGACGGGTTTGCCTTCTTTCTAGCGAACACCGGTTCTCGTGTACCGCCGAGTTCTTGGGGTGGCTGTTTAGGGTTGATTTCCAATTGTGAGGATACAGCGACAAGTGGCCTTGTTGCCGTGGAGTTCGACTCTTTCCAAAACGATTTCGATAGAACCTCCTGCCATATCGGAATAAACGTAAACTCAATTATATCGGTGAAGACCGTGACGTTGACGCGTGAATGGACTCCTGTCTCCAGAGGTTTCGCGAGGATTTGGTATACTTCTCGGGCCAAAACCCTCTCTGTTATGGTTGATTACCATAATCAAACTTACAAGCTATCTCATCATCCTCTAGATCTATCGAAAGTTTTGCCTAAAAGAAGTTTCGGCTTCTCAGCGTCGACTGGTCACTCCATCTCGATTCACCGTATCCTTTCGTGGGAGTTTAACTCAACAGGCTTCTCATTAATCGCGGAAGATGGTGCTGGACTCGATAGAAATCAAGTGGTGGCTTGTATACTAGGTGGGCTGACTTTTCTAGTATTTATTGGTGTTGCTTTGTTCTATGCCTTCCGTCGTAGAGACGGCAATGCTTTTATCTGTAATGTCTTTCAGAAGAGAAATGGAGAGACGGAGAGTACTACAGCTTTGGATGATGTGTCGAATATGGATCGTGAATTTGAGCATGATATAGGGCCTAAGAAGTTCTCTTATAAGGAATTGGTTAAGGCCACAAATAAGTTTGCGGAACAAGGTATACTTGGTGGAGGAGGATTTGGGGAAGTTTACAAAGGCTACTTGAGGCACTTGAATCTAACTGTGGCAGTTAAAAGAGTTTCTAAACGGTCCAAACAAGGAAGAAAAGAGTATATGTCCGAGGTCAAAATAATTAGTAGACTCAGACACAAAAACTTGGTGCAACTAATTGGTTGGTGTCATGATAACAAAGAGTTCCTTCTTATCTATGAGTTCCTCTCAAATGGTAGCCTTGATTCTCACTTGTTTGGAAGAGAAAGAAGCATTCTTTCATGGAAAGTGAGGCATAAAATAGTCCTTGGTCTTGCGTCTGCACTTCTCTACTTGCATGAAGAATCGGAACAATGTGTTCTTCACCGTGATATCAAATCGAGTAACATAATGTTGGATTCAGATTTCAATGCCAAGCTCGGCGATTTCGGCTTAGCAAGGCTAGTGGATGAAGCCACTGGTTCGCGGACAACAGCGTTGGCAGGAACATTGGGCTACATGGCACCGGAGTACATAAACACGAGCAAAGCGAGCAAGGCCTCTGACGTGTTCAGCTTCGGGGTGGTGGCGTTAGAAATAGCATGCGGAAGAAAATCGATAGAACATGATTCCGAGGAGGAGGATAGGGTTTCTCTTGTTTCTTGGGTTTGGGACTTTTACGGAAGTGGAAGGCTTCTTGATGTGGTTGATGAGAGACTATGCTTGGAATTTGACGTGCGACAGATGGAGTGTTTGCTGACCGTTGGATTGTGGTGCGTTCATCCGGATCATAATCTAAGACCGTCCATAAAGGATGTCATACAAGTTCTCAGTTTTGAAGCGCCATTGCCAGATCTTCCAAGAAACATGCCTGTTCCCAACTATCATGTACCTGACTCTGAAATACTTCATTCCTCTACTAGTGCGGCCACCATAACTGATTCATCATTTTTCACAGGCCGTTAAGACAAGTACTACCTCCTTCGTCCTTTGTAGGCTGTAGCCTTAAAATTTCTTTGTCGTTTTTCCTTTTTTTTTGGTTTAATTTATTGTACTTTATCCTCACCCTTTATCCTTTAGGGTTTCTTTCTTTTCTACTTAATTAAGTTTATAACTTCTTAGTATTGTGTTCATGTACATATATAAAAATATCAGCATATTCTTGCCGCCACATATAGCAGTATGGTAAACTGGTAATTAACAATTTACTTTAACAAAAACTAATTAATTGTTTTCCAATTGTTTTCAATACAATTAATTTGAAATCAATAATAAAATTTATAACTTTCATAAAAAAATAATAAATTTAAGAGTATGTTCATTTACACAACTCAAGTCATGACTTGAGTTGTGTATATGAGAGGAAAAAAATGCAACAATGTAGCAAAAAAGTTAAATTTAAATTTTTCTAAGAGAAAACACTGTAATAATATGACTTAAGTCATGAAATGAATAAGGCCAAAATTTACCGAACTAAATCACGTAATTAGCAATATATGCCTAATTTGTAATTGGAAAGTGGGTAAATGATGAGGGTTTGTTATAGGGGTGCGAATCTAGTTGGATTTCCTGTGTATCTCCTGATTCCTATCACCCAACAATGTAATAACAAATAATAATAGTATATATGCGTCGTCTGATTCATACTAGAAAGACATAAAAATAGTATATTGCAAAACTTCAGTGTTTAGTTTAAACATCCATACATGAAATAAGCAGTGGCGAAGGGTAACTAATCTTTCTGCTTAAGGCTCCTAATCTGTTGGCAGAGGTTCTTGTATCAGTGGCCGCGGATGTAGTTCAAATGGAGGAAAGTACCCGCGGTATCGCGTATTCAAAGAATGATTAGGTGCTTGCTGTAGGACCGACATGAGGTGACCCTTGTTCTTCACTGATGCCGCGTTTTCATGATTGTCCACTATCAAAATGTTACAGTTTTAAGGGCTTTTAACAAACAATCTAGTATATATTTTGCATTTAATAAAACTATACGGCTAGGACTTGATTTTCTCTGTATAATTTTTAAAATCTTTCGTCAGTTTTATGTCAATAAATGAAAATAGTAAAAGAATTAAAGTTCAGGAACTAATTTAACGAAATAAAAAGTTCAGGACTAAATTTATACATTGTCTTTATTTAGGAGCTAAGAACGTATTAGTAACCTTTCTAAGAATCAGATATATATTCATCTTGAAAATAGTCAACAGCTTGTAAAAGTTTTTGCGTATTATCAAGGATGCAGTTCATGCTATATATTGATTAGATCCATTTATTACTTTCTTTTAGTATTTTTCTTAACGAGAAGCTTGAATACAAGTGTTATACAAATATTAAAATTATTCTTATTAGAAAGGGGAAAATGTCTATTTGCAACTAAATTAATATTATTGTAAGAACGTATTTGCGTATTTGTTTTCATGGAACGATATCCAAGATTTTGTGCCTCGCATTTAACTTTTGTTTTGAGCATTGTAGAATGTTGGGAAAATTTGCCTAAAACCTAAGCAAATAACAGAGAACGAAAAATAACGAACGAGAAATTTAAGTAAAATTCACACAAAGAATTTAATATATAGAGGTTCGCCAATTTGGCTACGTCCTATTTTTGCTGCTGAAGATTTCATTAATCAGTTGAATAGATTCTTTACAGAGAAAAGCAGTCAATCTCTCTCTATATTTATCTCACACTTAAAAGATGTTTCCTAACCTCACACTCTAATTTTTCTCTCTGAAAATTCATCATACTAAGTCTCCATAACATTAGGTATTTAAAGAGTACAAGTAAAGAGTAAAAAAGCCCTAAAAAATCACCTAAAATCGGCCTTGAGATCACCTACTTGTGACCAGTGTTGCGGCGCTACCTTCTCGGTATCATAACGCTACTTCAAATCGCATATGATGTGCTCGCTAATGCCACGGTGGCCATTTTTGGTGCCGCGACATTACGGGTACAATTTCAGTAGCGCTAAGGCACTGAGCATTGGTGCCATGGCGCCATGTATGTACCCTTCTGGTAAGATGTGCCTAAGGCATGTGCCCCATACTAGTCTTACTAAGATGCATGAACGAAGTTCTATATATGTCTTAAAGAAAAGAAAATAAATTGGCATGCGGACAATTATTGAACTTAAAATTAATTAGTCATCAAGAAAGCCTATGACAAATATATTATTAATCTGAAATGATATTTGGCCCTAGAGAGAAACAACTCCGCTCAACTCCGCATCACTTGCAAAGCTTTAAGGGGGCGTTTGGTTTGCAATAATCAGTAGAAATTATATTCCTGAGAAAGTGATGGGGGTAATATAATTCATAGAAATAATACATTATTGTGTTTGGTTCCATACAAGAATCTTTCTCAAATTCTCAAGAATATTACATTACTGTATTTAGTTGTGCACAGTAATGTAATGTAATTTTTGTTATAAAATTAAACATTTTAAATAATTTTAAACTATTTATTTAATTAAGTGATTATAATTTTAACAAATTAAATTTAAAAAATATAGCAAACTAAAAAAAAAACTCTCTCTCTTTTCCCTTTCCATCTTCTATTCGAATTGTTGATAGATACTTGATACCAAGAGGCCAAATTCAACTAAGGGATACTGATAATATCCACCTTACAAACTAAACACTAGAAAGAACTCTTATCTTCCTTATAATATAATCTCCTACGACAACGTAAGTAAATAAAAGCACCACATAAACGAAAAACACACAAAGTTAAGAATTAAGGAAATAAAAAAGAAGCTCAACTTCAAAAAACCATTCCAGCAGTAAAACTTTCAGCAGTAAAATAGTATCCGCAGGAACCTATTTTCTAAAGCCATTCCAGAAAAAAGACAGACATTAAAAACAGAGATCATGTGGTTCCTTCAGAAACAGATACCTCTTTTCTTATATGCAAAAAACAGAGTAAATCGACTATATATTTCCTGTTTTTATTTCCCTCTTGCTCTTCCTATTTTTCAGCCATGTTTTTATTTCCCTCAATGTATCAATGGCGTCAGCAATCGGTATCAAAACACAGAAAGTTAAGTACGAATTAAGGAAACAAAAAAGAAGCTCAACCTCAAACGAGAACCAGAAAATTCAAATGCCATTCTTCTCCCTATCGACATGCTGTGTGAAAAGCTTCATGGCGAACATGTTGTCGTCGAAATACTCTCTGTACGGATGGTTCTTCGGAATGAGTCGCCGGAACTTGTCGAACTGTTTCTCGGCCTCATTCTTCTTCCTCAGCAGAGTGTATATGATTCCTTGGCAAAGGTAAGGCCTGAAATCCCTAGGCTCTCTCCTGCTCGTTGTTCTCGGACGATTCCTCGACGCGCTCCTCCGTGGACGACGGCGGAGCGACTGGGGCGGCGATGGAGGTGCTCGGCAGCTACGCAGGGAGGAGATGCTCAGTGGTGGTAACCCACACTGTAAGATTCTCATAATTTTGAGATTCTTAAGAATTTGAATAACACCATATTGGGTGGTATTCAAATTACATGAAAATGAGGGAAAGTGAATTTCATAGTAATCACATTCCTAGAAATTTAAAAATTATAATTCTTGTACCAAACATGTTAATATTACAGATTCTTATTTCCATCCTTAAGATTACTGCATATCAAATGCCCCTCAAATGTAAAGCCAAGGCAATTGCAACATTTTCTTTAATAAAAGTGGGACCGACGTTTTAGTGTGCGAGAAGAGAACCAATCTCCTTAACCATTTCCCATGCGCTCAGGCATTCGAGTCCAACATAGTAATTTTTTGCTTTGTAGCGATGCTAAAAAAGAAAAATTACAATTAATGCAAGGGAGACGGTCATTTGTGAATAAGAACGAGAATTTACTAACAAGGTTGTTGAATATTAACTTTTCGCATTTCACTTACGGTTGAGAAACAAAGTGAATGATATATATATATTTCTTTTTTGACCAATTTGCCAAGACCATTTATGAAGTATTTTCTTTTTATGACTACAGAGCGTGTGTTGATATATTATTACTTTTGGTCTTATAATGTTGTCTCATATTTTTTATTTACAACCTTTTTGAAAATATTTTCCTATGTGATGCCGATAATCTATGTAAAACATAGAGAATCTATGGGCGTGTTTGTTTCCGTTTTAAAATAAACAACAACAGTTTTGGGCAATGACCAATCTAATAGAGCCAAAATTTTGTCAGGGTCTACGGCTACTCCATCTTTTGAAATCACATGGCCCAGAAACCCAATTTGAGGTTGCCTAAACAGACACTTTTTAAAAGATTGGAATGAAGCCGTAGTTGGTTTGTCCGACCGGACTCCTTGCAATTTGTAACGCTTCCCTTGCCAATTGAAAATCATGAACATATCCTTCCAGGTGGCTTGAACTATGTTGAGAGAAGCCAACCATTTGATTGCCAAGACCAAATCAGCTCCCCCAATCGAAAAATGGTAGTAATCTTGAGTGATGGATAAGCCTGGCAATTGAACATGAAGATCATGGCAAACTTTATTGCAGCGAATGATGTTCCCATTTCCTATTTGTATGCTGAATGGGGGAATGGTTTGCACTGGAATTCCAAGCTCTTCCATGATAGTTTCTGCCACAAAATTATGTGTTGACCCACTATCAACAAGGATAAGGACCTGCCGCTCATTGATTTCTCCCTGAAGTTTCATCGTTGCACCAACCGACTTTTCCAAAATTGCGTGGAAAGAAATCTCAGCAAAGTATGCCACTGGTGGAACACTGTCGTTGGTGTTTTCGTCGTCACCGCTGTCTGGATGATCGCCGTCCATGAGCTCCATTAGAGAAAAGCTTGTGGATTTACATCTGTGACCCGGAGCAAATTTCTCATTACAACGGAAGCAGAGACCTTTGGCTATTCTGTTCTGCCGTTCAGCTTCCCATGATCGAGTTTGCGGTGGTTGGGTCGTCGCTTGGGTTGTAGGGGAAAATTGTCGGGGGTTTGTGTGAACAGAAGAAATACCCGTGAATAATGTTTGGGGTTGTGGGCTGGGCCGGATGGCTGTGGTCCAATTGGCCCTTTGGTGGTGCAATGTGGGTCTAGTTTGGATTCAAATTCAAGAGCCAAACTCATGGCTTTATATACTGAACGTGGTTTGTGAACCCGTACGTCAGCCTTCAATTCTTCCTTTAAGCCACTGAGAAAGGCCCCTAGGAGACAATGTTTGGGCGACAACTTGAGTCGAGCGGCGCGTTTGGCAAACTCTTGACAGTATTCTTGAACGCTCCCCACTTGCCGAATGTTGTATAGATGCTCGTCTAGATTTTTGGAATTCTGCAGGTCCATAGTTCTCGTGCAGGGCTTTCACCAATTCTTCCCAATACACAATAGTTCGCTCACTATTGATCCAGGTGAACATATTGAGAGCGTCGCCTTCCAAGTACATGGCGGCAATCTCGACTTTCATATCATCTGGGGTTTGATGATAACGGAAAAAATTTTCCGCTTTTAAAATCAAACCCCGCGGATCGACTCCTTCCTATTTAGGAAATTCCATTTTGATGTATGGGCGTTGCAAAGGGTTACGCAACCACCAAGGGCTATCCATCTCCGCTTCGACATCATCCGCCCAAAACGGCTTGTCTCATTGACGAGAACCCAAGCTAGTTTCTGCCATTTTTCTTTTGTCCTGCTTGCCTTGGCTAGTTTCTCCTTGTGCTGGTTGGCTGGTTTGAGCCTTGAGAGCGGCGACTTTAGCGGCTAGAGCATCAATTGTGTCAAGTTGGTAGCGATAGTCGAAAGCTGCTGAACAATGGGGTCAGGACTTGGGTCAGTAGCGGAAGGGTTGAATCTGGTGTTCACCATGATGGATTAACCTGCTCTGATACCAAAATGTTAGGAGCGGAGATAATAAAGAGAAATTACTGGAAATATTAGGAAAAGAAAGGAAATATATTGGCTGAAAACGAAATACAAGAATCTTTAACACCAGCTTCCACCAATACAAGTGTCCGTATGGAATGAAGAGGACAAGACTCCCAAGATATAATAGAAACAATTCAATTCGATAACCTAAAAGCTAATCCTAAACAGATATTTATAGAAAACATCCATAAAGTATTTGTAACAAACAACTAAAAAATAAGAAAACATGAACTAAGTGGCGAAATGGCTCAGTGGACACGTGCCGGAGAGAATCAAGGAAATAGCTACTCCACTACTTGGTTGAATGGATCATCCTCCACGTGTGCTAAACCCAAAAACTGGAGTTGGACTTAGTCAATGCTCCCAAGAGCCTTATCCCCATTTCCACGTTGTCTTCTAGAATAAGTCAAAAGCATGAGACACTTTACCACCCAATAATATTCCGTAAATTCACAAACTTAAAAGGGGAAAAAGAAAATGAAAGAAAAAATAAGTGACACATGCAACCATTGAGAAATATATATCACTTGGAATCACTTCTCCGTTGAGTATTTCTTATGTTTAATCTTCTCCATTTTGCGTCAACTTTTCTCTTCTATTAAAATAGCTTATCACTCTTCCAGAGTTACAAAGGAGCTAGAAAGCAAAAATAATTTTCCATGGAGATAATGAAAAAATGACCAAAATGAAAAAGTTGTACATCTACTTGTTTACTAAAATAGTTTTTTTTTTCCTAATTGTAATTATGTAATTTCATCTATATTTTTATTACAAATCATGCATGTTTGAAGACTAAAATTTGTAATAGATGTTTTTTTTTCTTTTCTAATATTGATCGAAAGTTGGTTCTTCGTAAATGATTGTATGTATTTGTCAAAAACTTTGAAAAAAAACATGTAACCTGTAAGACGTGCCTAAGGCATGTGCCCCATACTAGTCTTACTAAGATGCATGAACGAAGTTCTATATATATTTTACAAAAAAGAAAATAAATTGGCATGCGGACAATTATTGAACTTAAAATTAATTAGTCATCAAGAAAGCCTATGACAAATATATTATTAATCCGAAATGATATTTAGCCCCGGAGAGAAACAACTCCGCTCAACTCCGCATCACTTGCAAAGCTCCAGGTGTAAAGGCAAGGCCATTGCAACATTTTCTTTAATAAAAGTGGGACCGACGTTTTAGTGTGCGAGAAGAGAACCATTTCCCATGCGCTCAGGCATTCGAGTCCAACATTGTCTCATATTTTTTATTTAAAACCTTTTTGAAAATATTTTCCTATAAGATGCCGATAATCTATGTAAAACATAGAGAATTTATGGGCGTGTTTGTTTCCGTTTTCAAAAACGTTTTTCACATTTTTCAAGGAAAAAAATGAAAACGGTGTGAGGATCGTGTTTGGGGCAGCAACGTACAGAAATAAAAAACAAAAACGTTTTTGTCTTTCTCCTAAAATCAGAGGCGTTGCTGAAAACAAACTCAACTCGTTTTCCTTTTCTCCATTTTCATTTTCTCTGGGTTATTTTTCTTTCCTTCATTCTTCTCTCCACCGTTCTCTTCTCTTCCCTTTTCTCCATTTTGATTTGCTAATAACATTACACAAACATAGCAAACGCGAGTGGGTGTCATCTTCGTGCAGCCGCTGTCGAAGGCCAGGGGAGGACTGCAAACGAAAGAGACGCGAGTGGGTGCCGACTTCGTGCAGCCGCCGTCAGAGGTGAGGGGAGGACTGCAAACGAAAGAGACGCGAGTAGGCGCCGTCTTCGTGCAGCCGCCGTCGGAGGTGAGTGGAGGATGGCAAATGAAAGAGACGCGAGTAGGAGCCGTCTTCGTGCAGCCGCCGTCAGAGGTGAGGGGAGGACTGTAAACGAAAGAGACGCGAGTGGGCGTCGTCTTCGTATAGCTGCCATTGGTGGCGTGGGGAGGACTGCATACAGAGGTGCCAAACTCGTCGAGATCCTTGTGGTAGGCGGGAGTGTTATCGTTTTGGGGCTCATCGGAGTCAGAGGGTTCCCTGGATTCATCGGTGAAGACGGACTTGAAGAAATCAATTGAAGGAGAAGAGTTCGCTGGAGAAAATGACAATAAGTTGATGAAATGACAATTTTGAGATGAAACGACACAATTTTGAAAGGGGGCCTGAGGAGGAGTTTAATATATTATTATTTTAAATACTATTACATGTTTTTTAAAATGAAACCACCAAACGCCGTTTTAATTTTTTTAGACTGAAAATAATTTTTGAATAAAACTTCTAAACACATTTTTAGAAATGATTCCTGCCTGAAAATGAAAACGTTTTCGTTTTCATTTTCATACAGAAAATAAAATCATTTTAAAACGAGTTTCAAACGCGTCCACAATGTTTAAATAACATAGAGTATTAAAATGAGATTTTCCGTATAACTTTTTAAACATATTTTGAAAGTAAAATTAAGTATTTATTATAAATAAAAAGTACAACTAAATGTTATCTTTGTTTTAATAAAGTAAATGTTATCCTTTTATCAAAAAATATACAATTGTTTTCACTTTTTTATTTTTTAACATTCCTCCAAAGCATAATCATAAAACAAGGGGAACAACCTGTGAGCGCGTGGGAAATAATGGGAAGGAAAAAAGTGGTTCCGTCACACTTGAACGTGGATCCCGCTTTTATTAAAAAAAAATGTTGCAATTGCTTGGCATTCACATGTGGTGTTTTGGAAGTGATGCGGAGCCGTATAGCTCTTTTCATGTTATTTTAACGCTTTAAAAACTCAAATAACGAGACTTTGAATGTTGATAAGCTTTTATTATTCTCTTCTAGGAGATTAGATTTTTTTTTCCCCATGATTTTCCTCCACCAAATCAGGGCCATACGCATTAAATTTGAGTAGAAATTAGATTAGCAGTCAAGGTTGGAATGCTTTGTTCTTGGTTTCATGAGCCCATCGTAGTTGTCAATACAGTAGTAATTAAAGGGGCTAACTCATTAATATTAGATTGATGATTGATGGAAAAACCACGACGTTGGGTTGGCAAGACTTATAATTATAGTAAATATATGCCATTTATTGTGTTTCAATGCTTCGATATAAAGTGATTAAAATTGTTAGATTGAAGGATAATAATCACCTTAGTACCATGTATTACTCGGAAAAATCAATTTTGTTTTATGTGTTCTTCGTAATATTATAAAGATACTGTGAAGTTTTTAAAATGTCACTTTGATACTTAGGTCTTTTTTTAAGACATAAAATCAATACAATGATCAAGTTATGTCGTTACTAATAAACCTTTTTGTTGTAGTGATATATAAAATTTAGAGAATCAACATACAATATATAATACATATCATTTATATTTCGCAACTCTCTAATAACTTCAACACCTGATATGTACTTTGCACATACGAACACAATATGAGCAAGAAAATAAAGGAATTATAACAACCAAAGAGACGAAAAGAGTAATACCAGTGCTTAACGGCCTAAGAAAATTGACGAATAAGTTATGGTGGGCTCACTAGTAGATAAAGGAACTTGTATTGTAGCGTTCTCAGGTGCATGATAGTTGGGAACAGGCATGTTTTTGGGAAGATCGGGCAATGGCGCTTCAAAACTAAGGACTTGTATGACTTCCTTTATGGACGGTCTTAGATTATGGTCCGGATGAACGCACCACAATCCAACGGTCAGCAAACACTCCATCTGTTTCACGTCAAATTCCATGCATAACCTCTCATCAACCACATCAAGAAGCCTTCCACTTCCGTAAAAGGCCCAAACCCAAGAAACAAGAGAAACCCTATCCTCCTCTTCCGAATTGCGTTCAATGGATTTTCTCCCACATGCTATTTCTAACGCCACCACCCCAAAGCTGTACACGTCCGACGCGTTGCTCGCCTTGCTCGTGTTTATGTACTCCGGTGCCATGTAGCCCCATGTTCCGGCCAACCCCGTTGTCCGGGGACCAGTGGCTTCGTCCACTAGCCTTGCTAAGCCGAAATCCCCAAGCTTGGCGTTGAAATTTGAATCCAACATTATGTTGCTCGATTTGATATCCCTATGAAGGACACATTGTTCTGATTCTTCATGCAAGTAGAGAAGTGCAGAGGCAAGTCCAAGAACAATTTTCTGCCTCACTTCCCACGAAAGAATGCTTCTATTTCTTCCAAACAAGTGAGAATCAAGGCTACCATTTGGGAGCAACTCGTAGACAAGAAGGAACTCTTTGCTGATCTCATGACACCAACCAATTAGTTGCACTAGATTTCTGTGTCTGAGTCTACTAATTATTTTAACCTCGGACATGTACTCTTTTCTTCCTTGTTTGGATCGCATAGAACCTCTTTTAACTGCCACGGTTAGATTCAAGTAACTCAAGTAGCCTTTGTAAACTTCCCCAAATCCTCCTTCACCGAGTTTACCTTCTTCAGCAAACTTGTTTGTGGCCTTAACCAATTCTTTATAAGAGAACTTCTTAGGCCCCATATAATGCTCAAATTCACGATCCATATTTGACGCGTCGAATCTAGTTCTCTTCTTACAATAACGAAAGCCACACAACAACGCAACACCAAGAAATATTAGAAAAGACCCACCAATTACACAAGCCACCAGGAGGACTCGATCCACTCCACCACCCTCTTTCGGAAGATCTTGCGCGATTAATGAAAAGTTTGTCGAGCTAAACTCCCAAGAAAGGATGTCGTGCGTCGCCGTTCTATCACCAGTGGATGCGGAGAAACCGAAATTTAAGTGTTCAGGCAGAACTTGCGATAGATCAATTTGATGAGAAAGCTCGTAAGTTTCATACTGACGGTAAGAAACCCTAACAGAGAGGGTTTTGGTCTGAGA